TCGTTGCACCGTGACCTGTTGCAATAATATTCGTGATGAAGCTAACGCATACATAGATACACACACACACACACACACACACACACACACACACACACACACACACACACATATATATATATATATATATATATATATATATATATATATATATATATATATATATATATATATGTATGTATATATTATATTTCGACTTTATATATGGATGATAATTCGTTATTTAATAGTACCTATTTAAATCTATTTGTATAGTCATTTTATAAATTTCTTTTTGGAATGATATAATCTTTATTTATCATTTCTATTCAAATTATTCTATTTACACTAAAACATCACTGATTAAATTAATGTCTATAGATGTTCGAACATTACGACAGTGTTAGTGATAATGTTACTGTTTGTCAATAAATTCACGAAATTTACAGACAAACAGTAAGATTGCCACTATCACTGCCCCAATGTTCCAATTTCTATCCAACAGATTTAGAGATGTCCTCATTTCGTAAGAATCTACGTGATATGCATCAAATACTGCACCTAAATACAGAGAGAGATCAAATCATTTCTAAATAACACCATCATTTCTCCAGCCATCATTCCATTCATGATTTATATCTCTATCATAACGTGACTGTTGGCAGGGACGAAAAATGCAAATTTGTTTATGGTGGTAGCGAGTAGTGTTGCACTATTTACTAGGGTTTTAAAGGGGAAAGACTGAGGGAAGCTTCAGATTGTAGTTGTCCAGGCTGAGAGACCGCAGGCCTATACTGTATTCAGAACAAATTAAAAGGAAGAGGGAATTGTGATGTAATTGTTAATGATTATAGGAGAGTTTAACTGTCCTTTAATTAAGAGAAATTTTAATAGCTTAGTTCTGCATGATAATGGCAAAATCAAGAGAAAAATCTATAATAAGAAAAATAGTACAGATTTTTTCTTTATTATAACGATTCATAGCCACCTAAGAAATGGAAGAAATGGGTTGAGAAAAATACATTGTGGAAAATACAATACAATACAATTAAATTCTCTTCAAGCATAATTCTCTTAATGAATGTGATATCAGAAATATATTTACTTGATTCTCATTTCTTCGTATTCCCTTAATTCACGCCCCCAACGGAAAATAATAAATAAATAAAACACAATTAATAGAAAACATAACAAATGGCATAAGTCCGCAGAATGAAAATTCAACACAAAAAGATTTACGCTCGTATCAGGTCAAAACATGGCCGTGTTCCGTGTCGACTTTGTATAGACTTTGGTGATTTTTTACGATTTCCTTCGTTAAAGTTTATATTGGATTCGGAGGAGGAAATGCGTACCTGTCCGAAACGTTGTGGGTTGGGTTGCTATTTTTAGGTCCGTTTCTTTCTTTGAGTATTTGTTATAATTTTTACGGTAATTTTTTTTTCCCTGTGTATTTTTTTCTTTTGTTTTTGATTTTCCTTGTGTATTTTTTTTTCTTTTGATTTTGTTTTTCTTTTGTATTTTCCTTTTGTCTTCTTTTCTTTATATTTTTTCTTTTGTTTCTGTTTTTCCTGTTTTGTATTCTTATGTATTTTTCTTTCGCTTTTGTTTTCTTCCGTATTTTCTTTGTTTTTGTTTTTTCTGTATTTCTTTTGTTTTTTTCTGTATTTCTTTTGTTTTTGTTTTCTACCGTATTTGTGTCCTTTTGTATTTTTTTTTTTTCTGCATTTGCTTTCTCTTCTATTTGTATTTAATTGTAATAAACTGTATTCAAGAAAAATAATATGGATGAGAATGAATATCTCTTTGTCTTGTGAGAATATTCATTTTCATTCGTGTCTTTTCTTTCATTGTAATGTTTGTTTGTTATATTTTGTATTTGTAATTTTTGTGCCTGTTTTTTTTTCTTTGGGTACTTTTTATTTCATTAATTTCAATTTTATTTGTACAAAAGATTAGGTCTCGAGGTCGGTTCTTAATTGAGATTTTGGGGATAAGAAAACATTGTTATTAATAATGATAATGATATCAATGATAAAACAGTGATGGTAGCAACAACAACAACAACAACAATAATAATAATAACAATAATAATAACAATAAGGGCGATAATTATAATGATAATAAAGATGATCATGATACTGATAATAAATATATTAATGATGATTATTATCATTATCATTACAATTTCCGTTGCCATTACAGTTATTATGTCATTACTATTGTCATCCCCATTCTCCTCCTTATCATCATCACCATTATCACCATTGTTGTTAGTGATAGTGTCTATCATTATCATCATTATCATTACTGTCATTATCGTCATTATTATTAGAGGTCATCAACTTTCTTCATCATTTTCACAAGCGTACAAAAAACCTCTGTTGTTAAAATGTTTTTTTTTTTTTTACCATCTTCATAATCTTGTAAACATTTCCATCAACATTATCACCATTACCATTACTTTTGCCATTACCATCGACGTTACCATTACTCCAAGGCCAAACACCAGTGAGAGAGCTAAGGGCCGGCATAACTCGAGAAGGCTTAGGCACAAGTTCTGAAACTTTCCCTTTTTGGGAGAGCGGTCCACACACTCGACGCCTCGAGGTACCAGCGGGCCGACGGAAGAAAATATTTACGCTGTTGTTTTGTTGTATAACTAATTGTTAATTCATTCATTTGTTTACGTTTTTGGAGTAATGTGAGTGTGTTAGTGTTTTGGTACTCGGTCGGTGTTTAAAGAAGGAGCGGGTTGTTTTAATATTCAATCGTGTATGTCTTGTAATGAGTCCGATTTCATGGAAAAAAATAAAAACTGGTAACTCAGAGGACACGGAATCTCCACAAATCTTTTTGAAAGAGAGAGAAAGATGAAAAGTCAAGTAGTTTAAAGCAGGATAAACACTGTATATATGTTTTATAAATTCAAAAACATATGTAAGCTTGTGCAATATGAGTTCATTAAATTAGAATTTTTTATTTACAAAATCGGAGCACTGCAGACTTTAGGGTGAGTTGTCAGGTTATCCGTTAATGAAATTGGATGTAATTTATATATATTCATAAAGTTATTTATGATTATTTGTATATTCTTAGTTATTATTTATAGTTATAGTGTTAGTTTTTGATATTGGTCCCTAGTTAAGGCAGAGAGTGAGTCATGAAATGCATTATTTTCCTCATTAATACGGTTCTCATTTTTTTTTACATTAACCATGTTTAAAGCATCAAGTGAGTTCTGAACCACTATTTTTCCCACTCATGCTACTATTAACTCTTACTGTTGTCTATTATTGAATAACCCAAGTTGAAAAAATAACAAAGGCATTGCTAGTGCATTTGATTGTTTATTAAGAAAACATAGAAAAATGGAAACATGAGGAAGCCAAAGAGATGAGATAGATGAGAGAGGAGAGAAGAGAGAAGAGAGAGAGAGAGAAGAGAGAGAGAAGAGAGAGAGAGAGAGAGAGAGAGAGAGAAGAGAGAGAAAGAGAGAGAGAGTGTCAGCTCTTTGTGTTTGCCTTGATTTGGTGGGTTTACGGAGACACAACTCTGGTTCAGCTGTTTATTGATAGGAGGAGTAGGTAGCGTGGCGAGGGCTGTGTCTCGTGCTGGTGCAGGAGTGGGCAAGGGAGCTCAAAGGCACGTCGAGCGGTAAGGCACGTGTGGGGGGGGGCGAGCCCTGGCAGTGGAGACGCGGGAAGGTAACCCTTGTTCATCAGAGAGAGAGAGAGAGAGAGAGAGAGAGAGAGAGAGAGAGAGAGAGAGAGAGAGAGAGAGAGAGAGAGAGAGAGAGAGAGAGAGAGAGAGAGAGAGAGAGAGAGAGAGAGAGAAGAGAGAGAGAGAGAGAGAGAGAGAAGAAGAGAGAGAGAAGAGAGAGAGAAGAGAGAGAGAGAGAAGAGAGAGAAGAGAGAGAGAAGAGAAAGAGAAGAGAGAGAGAGAAGAGAGAGAAGAGAGAGAGAGAGAGAGAGAGAGAGAGAGAGAGAGAGAGAGAGAAGAGAGAGAGAGAAGAAGAGAAGGAGAGAGAAGAGAGAGAGAGAGAGAGAGAGAGAGAGAGAGAAGAGAGAGAGAGAGAGAGAAGAAGAGAGAGAGAGAGAGAGAGAGAGAGAGAGAGAGAGAGAAGAGAGAGAGAGAAGAGAAGAGAGAGAGAGAGAGAAAGAGAGAGAGAGAGAGAGAGAGAGAGAGAGAGAGAGAGAGAGAGAGAGCGAGAGCGAGAGCGAGAGAAAATATGGCTTATCTCATAGATACCAAACATACTCGCGAGAGAATCATAAACAAAGCCAAGAAGACCAAGAAATAAAAAAAAAAAACGAAAGAAGCAAACCACCATGTGTTTTATCTATTTTTTTTTTTTTTTTTTTGTACCTGACGTGGGCGCGTTGTTTTCCATCCTGAAGTACGGAGAAAGAAAGAGCAACGAGTTCCGTGGCCTGAGATTCCCGAAGCCGAAGTACTGGCTTCTTCTCGGACATCGGCAAGGCTGGGGAATCACGGAGAGCGAAGGGGGGGAGGGGGGCCAGAGGACCGGAGGGAGGGAGGGGGTAAGAAGGGGACGGGGGAGCGTGGGAGGGAAGGAAGTGGAGGGAGGGGGGTAAAGGAGGGTTAGGAGGAGGAGGAAGGGGGGTAAGGGAGGGGGCAAAGGAGGGTTAGGAGGAGTAGGGAGGGGGTAAGGGAGGGTTAGGAGGAGGAGGGAGGGAGGTACGGGAGGCCAAGAAGAAGAGGGCAGGAGGGAGGGTCAAGCACAGGAGGGGCAGGGTAAAGGAGGGATAGGAAAGAGAGGGAGGGGTAAGGGAGGGTCAGGGACAGGAAGGAGGAGAAGGAAACGAAAGGGGGGGGTGGGGATCGAGGGCATACGAATATAAGAACGAGGGGGAGGGGTGATGATAGGGGGTAGGAGTTTACCGGGACTGGAAACGGAAAGGGGAGAGAGAGGGGGGAGGGTAGGGGAGGTAGGGGGGGGTAGTAGAACGACCTACACCCACCCGCCACGCAAGAGCACCTACCAGTCTGCTGCTTAACTCGGCCAGGGTGCGGTTGTGCGTGCGTGTCGGCTGCTGTCCAACGAGTAGGCCGGACCTCGTTTGTGTAGTGTGAAATCCCTCTCCTTCGATACTGGATACACGGGCCGCTGATCTTCCAACCCCCGAAGAGGAACCCCAACACGCGATTAAGGTAAATGATCTCCAGCTGTGAGAAAGGAATTTCAATCAGCTGTTTATGTGGACTGTTGGTGAAATGCGGCAGGAGGCGGAGCGCTGTATTTTGGCTGCGTTGACATCACCTGAATTGGCCGCCGGGCAGGGATCGCGAGGGAGGGAGAGGGAGAGAAGGAGAGAAGAGAGGGAGAGGGAGAGGGAGAGAGGAGAGGAGGGAGATAGAGATAGAGAAGGGAGAGGAAGAAGAGAGAGAGAGAGGAGAGGAGACTAGAGAGAGGAGAGGGAGAAGAGAGGGAGAGGAAGAGAGAGAGAGAGAGGGAGAAGAGAGAGGGAGAGGGAGATAGAGAGAGGGAGAAGAGATAGAGATAGAGAGAGGGAGATAGAGAGAGAGAGAGAGGGAGATAGAGAGAGAGAGAGAGAGAGAGAGAGAGAGAGAGAGAGAGAGAGAAGGAGAGAGAGAGAGAGGAGAGAGAGAGAGAGATAGAGATAGAGAGAGAGAGAGAAAGAGCAGATGTGTCAAAAAAGAGCTGATTTACAGATGTGTCAAATAGAGCTGACATTTAATTCTAATATCATGTATTCATTAGAACAGAAATGGATATATTATTATTGGTGTTTATCGTAATTGCAAAACATCTTCAGTCGATTGGAAGCGAAAGATCTTACACAACAACAGAAGATTTTTATTATATGATATACAAATAATATATACAAAGAAATATGCAAATGACAACAGGTTGGGTATGCCATGAATAACATCCGCCTTGTTGAGAGTAATGGAGTATCATTATTATTTACCTCAATTATCTCCCACAAATTAGAGTTATTAATGACCAGAGAAAGACATTTTTTAAAACTTCAAATAAAAGCATGCGTATGTTTCATCGTAATAGCACATGAACGTCAAAGAAAATTTATTACATTTGATTACACTCTTTCTTCATAATCATTAAAATCATCAACCTTAGTCAATAATAGCGAAGATAACGTTATATAAAAGCGTATTTTTTTTTCGTCTTTTACACGAATGTAAAACGAACAACACAAGAAACCTGGCGAGACACTAATGGAAAGTCGAAGGGTTTCGGTGCGGTCTCGAGAGATGAAATCACGCATGCCACAGTACGTGTGTGTGTGTGTGTGTGTGTGTGTGTGTGTGTGTGTGTGTGTGTGTGTGTGTGTGTGTGTGTGTGTGTGTGTGTGTGTGTGTGTGTGTGTGTGTGTGTGTGTGTGTGTGTGTGTGTGTGTGTGTGTGTGTGTGTGTGTGTGTGTGTGTGTGTGTGTGTGTGTGTGTGTGTGTGTGTGTGTGTGTGTGTCGTGTGTGTGTGTGTGGTGTGCGTGCGCGCGTGTGTGTATTGTGCGGTATGTGTGTGTGTTTGAAACTATACGATTTCATATACGTGTATCATCGTTTCAATTCCACTGCAAGAAATGATGACACCAATTGACTGTATACTCTTTTTTTCTCTCGATATTTCTCCGTGTACGTTCTCTGCAACAAGCTTTAGCCTCCGGGTGCGAATTCGAAACCGTCACCGCAAAGGACCGACAGCAAGGCGTAGTAATTGTACGTTATGTTTTCGGAATTTGCCGAAGGCTTGGACGCAGCGTTTCGGACGTTGCTGAAGGCTGCAGCGTTTCGGACGTTGCACGTTGCGAAGGCTTGGACGTTTCGGAAAGGCTTGGACTGTTGCTGAACGGTTTCCGACGCAGCGTTTCGGACGTTGCTGAAGGCTTGGACGCAGCGTTTCGGACGTTGCTGAAGGCTTGGACGCTGTTTCGGACACGCAGCGTTTCGGACTTGGAAGGCTTGGACGCAGCGTTTCGGACGTTGCTGAGGCTTGGACGCGCGTTTCGGACGTTGCTGAAGGTTGGACGCAGCGTTTTCGGACGCTTGGACGCAGCGTTTCGGACGTTGCTGAAGCTTGGACGCAACGAAGGCTTGCGCAGCGTTTTCGGACGTTGCTGAAGGCTTGGACGCAGCGTTTCGGACGCACGCAGCGTTTCGGACGTTGCTGAAGGCTTGGACGCAGCGTTTCGGACTTTGACTTGACGCAGCGTTTCGGACGTTGCTGATGTTGGACAGCGTTGGAAAGATTAAACGAACGCTTTGTTGACATTAATCAATCAAGCGGACAGAAATAGATGTATTATATTTTAAAATATCTTTTCAGTTATTTATCTTTATATTTATATCCAGTGAGGGAAACTTTTTCACAGAATTTTATTATTCGTTCATATGAAGCGTAACGCTGATGTGGGCACAACACACACGCCACACACGCACACACACGCACACACACACACACACACACACACACACGCCACACACACACACACACACACACACACACACACACACACACACACACACACACACCAGTACTCAATTAATGTCACATGGTCACGTATGTCACTTTTCTGTAAATTGGGTTGTTGAAGTTTCTCAGTGTGGTGAAAGTGCTAAAGTAAAATTCTGTGTTATTTTGTTAAGGATACTATATATATATATATATATATATATTATATATATATATGTATATATATATATATATTTATATATATATATATATAATATATATATATATAGTATATCATACATATATAATACATATATACATAAATATATATATATTATATATATATATATAATATATATATATACATATATACATAATACATACATAATACATATATTATATACTGTATATATAATATATATATATATATATATATAATATATATATATATATATAAAATATATATATTATATATATATTTATATCGTTGTTGGTACATTTTTTTAAGCTATTCCCCTTCTCTCTTACTCTTGCTTTCTTTTATCATTTTCTTTCTTCTCTTTTCTCTCTTGCTTTCTCTCTGGTTGGTTCTCAGTTTCTCTCTATCTCTCTTTCTATCTATTTTTATCATCTCTCTCTCTCTCTTCCTATCTACCTATCTTTATCGTCATCTATCTATCAATCAACCAGTTTCTCCTTCCGCTATCTCCTCTCCCCTTCTCTTCCCATGCCTCTTATCTCTCTCCCTGTCTACCTATCTGTTTATCTCTCTCTCCCTTTCTCTCTCTCTCGTGTCATACATGAAATCATAACAACATCCTGCCTCGTTATCAGCTGTTGACGAATAACTTGCTTTGACCTACTTGGACGAAGATATTCCAGGTAAGTCAGGTAACCACAAACAGTTGCTATGTGTGAATGATATAATGATGATTGCATGTATATGTATGTATGTATGTATGTATGTATGTATGTATGTATGTATGTATGTATGTATGATTGTATATGTATATATATATATATATATATATATATATATATATATATATATATAAACACACATGTATAGTATGTATGCATGTGTGTGAGTGTGTATATATATATATATATATATATATATATATATATATATATTATATATATATATACACACACATGTTTATGTATGTATGCATGTGTGTGTTTATGTTTATCTATGCGTACATATAGATATATAAAGAGAAGTAAAGATAGATACAGAGAGATAAAGAGTTATACAGAGAGCAAACAAACAGACATTATAAGTAGAAACTATGGACCCATAAAAGACCAAGAAATAAATAAAAAAAAAAAAAAAAAAAAATGGAAAAAAATATATCGCGACTGAACCTTCCCTTCACCACCAATAGGATAACAGGATAATCTTGAACCTCCTTCCACGCAATCATCGCCTCTATATCCTACATCCTTATTTGGCCTCCTTTTCCACCTACGCTTCATCCTACACTTCCTCGACCTCCTTTTCGAAGTTATTGTGCGGGAGAAAATGAAGACCGTATGGAGGGAGGAGGAGGGAGGAAAGAGGAAGGGGAAGGAGGGAAGAGGAGGAAGGAGGAAGAAGGGGAGTGAGGGAAGAGGAAGGGGAAGAGGAAGGGAAGAAGAAGGAGAGAAGAGGAATGTGGGGGGAGAAGAGGAGAGAGAAGGAGGAGGGAAGGGGAGGGAGAGGAGGGCGAAATGAGGAAGGGAGGAAGGAAGAGAAGTGGGAGGTGGAAGAAGGGAGTGGGAGAGGAGGGGAAGGAGGAGAGGAGAAAAGAGAAAGGAAGAAGAGAGGGGGAGGGGGAGGAGGGGCATTGTGTACACGAATGCCAAGGAAAAATGACAAAGAGACATGACTGGTCATATGTTATTGTTGTTGCGTTGGTACACATGTATGGATGGTCATCACACGCAGCTGGAATGAACTCGATCACACACTCCACACACGCACGCACGCAACCACGCATCGCACAAACACAACGCACGCATCAACACACACAACAAACACACACACACACACACACACACACACACGAGCACAGGCACACACACACGACACAGCACAACACACACACACACGACAAACAAAAACCAAACGAAACAGGACACATAACAATAGAGAACAGACACAACAAACAAACACACACACATAACATCAGATCATATACACACAACACACACACACACATGGGTGCACTATTTTTCATCACAGCACACACAACACACACCACACACACGACTCCATCACTACATATCACAAATATATAGGACATTACTTAGTCACGCAATACCTCGCTGAGAAAACGTAAATGAAAAAGACGTGCGCAATTCTAGGGCGGAGTTCCTCGCAAGGTTATCTTCTGACATATTTGGATCTCCCCCGGCTCCCCCGCCCCTCCGCTATCCTTCTATTTACCAACTGCCCGTCTCTCTGCTCCTACTGTTTCTCCCCTCTTCTTCTTCTTCTTCTTCTTCTTCTCCCTCTCCTCCTCTCCTCCTCTTCTTCTTCTTCTTCTTCTTCTTCTTCCTTCTTCTTCTTCTTCTCCCTCCTCCTCCCTCCTCCTCCTCCCTCTCCTCCTCCTTCTAACCGCCCTCCTCTCTCCTCCCCTCCCCTTCTCCTCCCCTCCTCTTCCTCCTCTTTCTTCTCTCTTCTTCTTCTTTCTTCTTCTTCTTCTTCTCCTCCCTCCTCCTCCTCTCCTCC